TCCGCTTTTCAATTTCGAGAGGGTACCTCAAAATTGTCGCCAACTGTTCCTTCAAGCTTTTATACAGATTATAAAAATTTTAGTCATTCTGAGAAAATTTAGGCCACGTTCTGCTATGTTGCCATCTGTAAGGAGGATAGAATTTTTACAACTGGTATGAACCACTGTTGTACACAAAAAAATCTTTCAGACAGTGATAGGCACATGGTTTTTACCAGTTTTATGGTTTAATTTCCTTTTGCGTTGTCCATGCCCTCTTCATTTTTTTTACCATTGTTCATGAACAATATAATGACAATAAAGTTTCAAGCTATCAGTTGAAGTCGTCTCTTACCTCGGTGAAAGTCCAAAATGTGAAGTGATCATAAGTCTAGGTTTACTTCTTGATCCCCGCCTTTGCGGCGATTCTACTTTATTGCCTTTATTTATTAATGGAGGTTGAATGATCTGAAATTTGATTGAACATTATTCCAGTCTTGCTAGTGACAGTCATGAGGGAAACACTTTACACAGCGCTATGCAGCTGGTGATGGGTTCCACACATACGCCCATTTCTCGCATAAGAAACCCGCCGAAAGCCACTCGCAATCATCTTATCATACCAGTTATTAGTTCCAATACCAACTATGAGGTAGCCGATATAACGTATTTCACTCCAGAAAAGAAAGGATAAAATCTGTTGTTCACTTGAAATAAGTTATCCATGAGCCAACGAAAAACATTTTCATCAAAAGATAATCTTGTACACAGATCACAAACAAAGTGAAATAGAATAGTCTTCCCCACCATAACAAACCTGCATCAAGAACTCGGATCAAGAACAGATTAAAAACAAGTAAACATGCCGCATCATTTGTCTCATATTCTACGGAACTTTCTTTTTGTGTGGATAGGTGCAAAACTGAAAATCGAAGAAATCAGCTTGAGATGCCCTAGCGCTGGACCACGGTCCAATAAGGAAAAAAATAGGGGGTTTGAAAAGTTTTGAGAAAATGCAATCGGTTCCTTTTAACACAAAATAACCGCAACAGTAAAGTTAGATTAGTGATCAAGAT